CCTCTTCTCTCTTTAGCTGGATTAGAAGCTATTTGAGAAGAGGGATCTCATCTCCTACCACCTTCTATTGTGAGTGACTCAACTTAGTGGCATGTACTTTTGTTGGCACCCAGGACACTGTCATTAATGAAGAGACGTCTAACCCTTAACATCGCAGGGCGCACAGCGGGGCAGCGTACCTTTCCATGGGATCCGTGGCAGACACGCTTAGGAGGCAAAAGTTTTGGAAAGGCCAACAAATGAAAACAATGTGTTTGTAGAATGGGAGGCATGTTGAATAGAGATGGCGCTGGAAGAGGCAGTGCGAGCAGGCTGTAAGCTGTCAGGCTTGATGCTGCTTTCAAAAACAGGTTTGGAAGGGTTACGAAATTTGTTTTCCCTTCCTCGTGTTCATTCATATGCTTCTTCATTCGGCAAAATTAATTGAGCCCCTACTATGCTCGTGGTTCTGGAAATCCAGAAAGGCGGAGCACAGCGTTCCTGCCCTTAAGGCTTGTGAGGAAGCTGACAAATAAACACATGGTCACATTGCAGGTAATGAGGACTATTATGTAGTCTTCTATCCAGTATCTCTGACGCTCAGAAGTTCTGAGTTTAAATTAGGGGATTTCCCCCCAGCCCTTTGGTGAGGTTTCTCTTAACTTCTCACGTTAGAAAAGCTTGGTTGTAAAGGGCTTCGTGGCCAACAGACTTGGCTGTGAATCCTGGTTCCACCGTTAACCATGGGACCTTGGGGCAACATTGCACCCTGAACATCAGTGACCTCATGTTTTCAATTGACTGCCCCTCAGCCCTGAATGTATCCATCAGTAATGCTCAGTGATTGATTCTGTTAATCGTTTCTCTTAAAATAGGCTCGATGTGAAGCCTTCTCAGCAGAGGGTGTGGTCGGACCTCCCAGGAGGAAGATGAGTCCTGTCCTTGTCAGCACCGGGGCGGGGGCGGGGGGTGTCAGTGATGTGGGTCCGTGGTCATCCCACAGAGTCTGTCCCAGCCATGGAGCCCAGAGCATGGTCCTTCCGTGACCGTGTGGCCTTGGCCTTGTGAGAGAGAACCTTCCTGCAGCCCTCTTCACTCAGAAACCAGAGCTCAGCATGGCCCGCCCTCTCTGAAGGCCTCCTGCCTGTACCAATGACCAGACTCCCCTGGACTTAGACGCAGCGTGGCCCCAAATATCCAGGACTGTGTTCCCTCTCTCTACCCTCACCACATGTAGCCCACCCACTCCGAAGGCCCCGCCCTCCCCCTGCAGGTGCCTTGGGGATGCCTGCTCCCCACCTGCACAAAGGAGGGTAGTCTAGTGCTCACCCAGCAATTGCCAACCAGCTCCAGCCTGGCTAAACCAGCGAGCGCCTCTGCTGTCTGCTGGCCTGTTGGCACCATTTCTAACCAGGGCTCAGCCCCTGCCACATTGTCCCCCCTTGGTCCTCTCCCTCCCCTTAGAGCACTGTAGGGTTTCCCTGTGTTTTCTAGTCACTCTTCCATTGCAGTTAATAATTCTTTCTATTCCACTGCTCTTAGTTAACCCAGGATGCGGTTTCTGTCTAGTTAACCCAGGATGTGATTGGACCCTGGCTGTTCACCTCATCAGTAAAGAAGAGATGAAAGTATCAGCACTTCAGATTTATTTTATCAATCAAATGAGAAAGCCCACACACAGCCCAACACACGCTGCTTTGCCTTGGCCACCACTTGCTTCTCACAGAGAATAAGGGAAACTACTGTTAACGAGTGCCAGGCACTTGACAGGATGGTGCTGATGTGCATGTGGTTAGCTCTAGAGGAAGAGACAGAGGGTCAGAGAGGCCAAAGAGATTGCTTCAGATCATGCGCGCAGTGTTGGATTGCGTTGAAACCCAGAGGACCAGTCATCCAAGTCCACATACCACACACCAGACCAGGCTTCCTCCTACAGCCCCAAACCCTCCTTCTTTTCATGTGAATGACAGCAATTTTCGTACGTAACAAAACCTTCTGAGTCTGACCACTCACTCCATGATGAGGCTGGCTGGGCAGCATGAGAAACATTTTCTGGAGTCCTTTCAGAATGACTTACTTGAGAGATCTCTCTCGTAAAGGAATGGCCTGAATTCTTTGGAAGGTGCAGGACAGTGGTTTCTCTTTCTCTCTGAGTCAGCCTCTGCATGACCCCAAGGAGCCTGTCCTTGGAACCGATGCTGTGGGCCTTGGCAAGGGTGTATTGGGCTGTTAAAGGCTCTACTTTGAGAAAACCCCCTTGGGTACTTCAAATCAAATTTATGGAATTTCCCGTTAGCAGTGGACCAGTTATACAGTTTGTTGCTTAAACATATCTTCCAAAAGACCAGACGTCTTTGTTATGTTCACTGATGCTTCCCTGGTGCTTAGCACGGAGCTGGGTAGACAGTAAATGCTCCATAAATGTTTAAGTGGATGAAGTCACATGGTCAAGGATTTGCCATATTTTTTACATGTGGGCCTTTTCCAGGCTATTTTAAAATAGGATTTTATTTTTAACGCGAGAGGAGGAATGAGAACACCTTAACAGGAACGTTACTGTTTTGTAAGTCTGGGCGCAGCACCATGGCTAAGATGATCTATTCCAATGACCAAACTCACCCTAATCCAAGTTTACCTGTCCTGTGTTTCACCCTCTCCAGTGTTTGCTTCTTCTCCATATCAGCTGGCCGCTCTGTTGATATGGTGGCAAGTGTAATGAGTAGGTACCATCCCAGTAAGGAACAGAGTGGCTTTTTAACTTGAGCCCTTTGGAAGGATTTGTCCAGTGCCTGGCAGAGAATTCTATACATGGCAGCTACTCCATAAATGTCTGTTGGCAGTGACAATGCTGTGATGATGGCAAGATCTTAAAATAAAGGCTTGACAGGCACAGGTAATGGAAATTCAGGCCAGGGAGGAGGGCTCAAGAGAGGCCTTCGTGTTCGTGGTTAGACAGTGTCCCTGAGTGTCTCAGATCATGACCAGGAAGTCAGCCACACTTTCTGTGTGTGCTTCGTAGTTCAGTGTATTTGCATTGCAGTTCATTATTTAAAAAAAAAAAAAAAAATCTGAACCAAAATAGCAAACGAAAGAAACATTCTCTACGTGCGTCGTGGGTGTTCCGGTACAGAGGTGAGACTGTGTACATGTTAAACTCCACAGTTCTTTGTAAAAACCTTGCTTCCTATTTCCCAGAGGTTATCTTTCTTGTTTTCCCTTTTAATACAATGAGAAAGGAAAAAAAGAATATAGAAAAAGAGTAAGCCCGTTGTTCTTTTTAGAAACATCAGGATGTGAACCAGTATCTGCCCCTGCTCACAGTTAAGTCTCCTTTAAAATAGAGTTGTCCCAATGCCAGGAGCCAATGAGACCAAACTGTCCAAGGGCAGAGTGTTAATGGGCGAAGCTGGGTAGAGCTGCCTCACCTGGTGCGGGGCTCATTCACTTCCCCCTTCTTTCAGCAAGTGCTCATGGGGCACCAGCTCGGTGTGAACGCGTGACGCCTGCCCGGTGCTAACCCTGTGAGAGGCTGCGAATACAGCGAAGGATGGGAACACCCTGAAGATGGCTATTTTGCCCATCTTGTAACCTCATCACCCGGGAGTCTCCTTAGTGCATCGGAGGGTTAAAGAAATACTCGTTGAATTGATGAATGGTCCAAGCACTCATGGAGTTAATAGCCCAAGAAATTATACTAAATTTCTTCTTGTTCCGTTAACATTTTCATGCCAGTAATATTTAAGTGAAATGAACATCAGGGTAGCTTTACGGAGAAAAGGAGTGGTGAGTCCCTGCTGCCAATGAGCAGCCGCGTGGGAGGATGGACGGAGGCGTGGTTGTGCTGTTGCCCTCTTTCCTACCAGCCGTGTGTAGGAAAAGGAGGGATGATTCTCACTTGTGTTGGTGGAAATAAGCCTCAGGACTACGGAGCTGCACGTGCACCGGAACATTTGAGCTCTACTGGAGGGACCGCTCTTTCCCTCTTTAAGCCCAGCCATTGGGGCCTGCTCGTTTGAACTGGGCTGCTCCAAAGCAGGAGTCCTGGGGGCAAAGGTGGGGATCCTTGCTAAAAACTGGCAGCAATTCTGTTCTTCTTAGCTGGGCATAATTTTGATAGGCATTGAAATACTCGATGAGCTCAACACTTTAAGAATTAAGAATTTAGCCTAAGAGTTTGCTGCTCCTTTGAACAATATCCAATATCACAGAACATTCCAGTAGTCCCATGATGGGTTCACTCCTCACAATGTGAGTTAGGTTCATTCATTCATTCTTCCTTCTCTCTCCTTCTCTCTCTTCCTCCCCCTATGGCTCTCTCTGTTTTTTTCTCTTCACAAAAGTCTAAGCAGTTCTGGACACCTCCCCCATTTTTTGTGGATATGGTTTGCCTACCATGAGGCATCTGTTTTAAAGTGGGGGAGACATTCCAAGATTTTCTAACCTTCCTGGGGCAGAAGTGACTGGCAGTGCTGATGGCCAATCATAAACCTATTACTTGATGACAGGTGGGCTCGAAGGACGGCCTCTCTGTTTTTTAGTAACATCATTAACCAGCAAGCAGTCATATTTGGGGACAAAGATTGCTCATTACTATTTTCCAAACACTGCATTTTTCATTTGTTATGATCATGTGAAATTTATCTTTCTGGAAAGGTTTATACAAGCTCTTAGGACTTAACTTGATTACAATAGTTAACATTCAATTTATTTTCATCTTTATCAAGAGAAAGGGAGAAAAAAAAACCCCATTAACTGATGATTGTCAGGAGGCTTTTTGCTTATAATGGGCAATTTGACCAAGGGTCCCCTGGAACATGCCATTGCTTAAATTTGCATTTCTCCAGGAAGTCTCTAATAGCTAGAGCGGGTTTGGGGATTAATGTTCAGATTTCAATCATTCCCGCTGCTCTTCTCATCCATTATGACAGTCCTCAAGGATTAACACTCTTGTGACTACAGTTATGCCCTACTGTGGGCTGTCCCAGGAACAATTCTATTAATATCACTTTTCCTCTTCCTAGGTGCAAATTCAGGAAGCAGCCGGCAAGAGACTCTCTCCCAGCCGGACGCCAGCTTTCTCAGAGCCTGCGTGGGAGGAGTCTGCATCGACTGGGACCACGGCAGATTCCGTCCTCAACTCCAGAAGTACCGATGATGAAAATGCATCATTGATCCAATACCTGGAGAGAGAAAGCTGTACTCAAAGCCCACAGCATGAAGAAAACCAAGACAGAGAAGACAACACACCTGGGTGTTCCTGGGGAGACCCAGGACATGGGCCGAGCCTCCCAGAAGCCAACCATGGAACTCTGCTCCCGTGTGAGCTGTCAGTGTGTCTCTCCCCGGAGGGTGGTGGTGACCCCAGGGAGACTGAGGCTCTCTCTGTTGCTTCCCCTGCACCCGCAAATACTGTCCCCACCCTGGAAACTGTGTGCCATGGGCCAAGGGGCAGAGAAACAGAGTGTTTGATGGAGTGTCTTGAAGCAGGTGACCAAGGAACGCATGGCACCATGGATTCTCCTGTTGGAGCCCCAGTTCATAATTATTTGCCTCAAGAAATTTGCTCCATGGACTTAGAGCTGGCAGAAGGTCAAAGCGAAGAGTCTGATTTATGTTTTCCTGATGCCAAGACACTGGATGTTGTTTTTCAAACACGAGGTTCTGAGCCCCCACAATCAGCAGGCCAAAGCAGCAAGGACAGAAACTCAGGTGCGCTTCCTCCACCTAGCAATGCCCTCACCTGGGACATCTCACAAAAGGCCAGTGAAGGTGCCACGGGGGAATGGCTAGCCACGGTGGAGAATTCCCCCTCCACGCTGGCCTCCACAGGGCAGGGCAGGCCGAGCCCCAGCATCTCAGGGGGGCTTGAGGAAAGAACATCACTGTCTTCTGAGAATTCTTCGGTGTGGGGGGAAGAAGGTGTTGACACTCCCAGAACCCAAGCCCTGGACCCCACAGCCACACCAACCAGCCACAGTTCAATTGTGAAGTTTCCTCAGGAGGAGCCTGCAACATTAACTGCTAACCTTGAGTGTCCTCAGGGGGCCAGGGAGAGTGGGGACACCCCAACTGGTACCATTGCCACCAAAGCCCACCCAGCTGAATACCTCCCTGTTTCAATTGCTGAGAACAGCCGCACAGATAGCCCTGAGGAGAGCTCACCTCAGACCCCAGATGAAAATATTTTTCAACATCTTTCCAATGTACAGCCGAGTCATATTTTAAATGGCTCCACCCCTGAGTCTGCGGAAGAGCTTTGCACGGCTCCCGGGGGCCCAGGGGTCTGCGTCTGTGCCCCGCCGCTCCCAGAGGGCGGGTTTTGTTACAATTCCCCTCTTCAGATCAATAGGCAGGCTGGAGATGGGAGCCAGACCATGGACCGAGTGGACAACAGGGGCCTGGAAGAGAAGTTTCAGGAAGAAGGAAGTGAAACAACACAGGGGCTCCAGCAGGAGAGTCTGCCCCACCAGGCTCCTCTTTCTGAAGAAAATGCCCGGGACAGTTGGCCTCCGCCACCTGCTGTCCAAGGGGAGACGGTCCCGGCACCTTTGGACCACCCGGCAGCAAGCTCCAGGGAGGAAAGGAGGCCAAGCTCTGGCCTGGGGACCAGTGTGTCCATGGTGACCGAAGCTACTGTGGACGATGACAGTCAAACTGTGAGCAGTGTTTCGCCTCTCCCCAACATCCTCCTGGAGGGGCCCACAGGACCAGGACATGGGGAGGCAGGCATCAAGCCCACGACGATGACTCTAGAGGCTTCCGCTTCAGAGGTCTGGCCCCCAGCACGGCCGGCAGGTTCTGAGTGCAAGGAGTCAGCAGCTGGTGCCGAGACTCCTGATGAGGCCTGGGCTGTAGCTGACACGCTGCAGGCAGGTGCCGCTTGGCCGGAGCCGGGCCCCGCTGAGCCTGCCGCATCGAGGGGTGGGCCCCAGGCTGAGTCTGGCTCAGCCCTGGCTGATAACAGAGAAACGCATGAAGGTCAAAAGCCAGCCAGGCGTAACTACTGGAGCTGTCTTTCTGCCCGGTATTTGAGCCAACGCCGGCTCCTGGAGTCATCCGTGGACCCTGTGGATGAAGAGGAATTACGTGTCATGGAATCGCCCCCCAAGTCTTCCACAATGGGAGGGCAGGAAACTGTTAGCAATGTGAGTCAAAACCAACAGGAAAAGCAGCTGGGCGTGGCTCTCCCTGCCTTCTTTAAACCATTTCTTACCTGCCCTAAAATCCTAGAGTCCTCTGTAGATCCCATTGATGAAATGGGTGTGGTGGAGTGGGCCCGGGGGGAAGCTCCGGAGCCTTCTGAATCCGCAAAGGGGCTCATCAGAGAGGAGAGTGAACCGCAGGATGGAAACTCGGACCAGAGAGCAGAAGTCAAGCCTGCCATCTCGCCAGTCCCGGGCCCCCAGCCGGGTGGGGAAACCATTCCCAGGAAGAACAGCACCAACCAAAACCAAGAAGCCAGTGAGAGAGGGGAAGCTGAGCAAAGTCAGCGTGACAAAGCCACAGCGGGAGTCCGACCTGCCACTTTGCTAGTACTGCATCCCGGTGAAGGTGGGGAGAGAGCTGCCAGCGGATGCAGCGGAAACCAGGAACAAGAAGGCTGCGAGGGGAGCCCAGGGAAGGCTGAACAAAGTAAAAACAGAGGAGCAGATTTTGTTTTCCCCTCTTTACTTCTTTCCAGCGGTCTTGCAGCCATGACTCAGTCACCTGTTGGAGTGGCCACTCACGATGCCACAGGGCAAGTTCATGACCTTCCCACGAACCATTTAGTGGAGCCCAGAAACTGTCAGCAAGCATTTTCTGCCTCAGAGGAAAGGGGAGAGTTAGAGAGTGAGCGTGGGAAACATTCGCCCTCTCCTAGTGGTCTTACGCAGCTGCCTTGTACTTCATCTCCTGAAGGAAACAGCACAAACTTTCCAATAAGCCACAAGATTGAGGAACCTGAAAAAGAGATGCCCCAAAGTGGGGAAACCAAAACCGCAAGTGCACCCAGCTCCCCTGCAGTGACTTTGGTGTTCACTTCAGGAGAACGTGCGTCAGAGGCAGCTCCTAAGACACCGCAGGACTCAGGCCGACTGGGCCCTACCAGGGGCCCTGGGAGAAAGACGGGGGAGGAGAGGTCCCGTCCCACAGCCGCCCAGATGGGCCGATCCCCAGCAGCTGCGTCAGAGGAGGGCAAGAAGCGGCAAGAACCTGCAGGAAGTGGGCATTTAGCCGAGGGAATGAAGAAGAAAATTCTGTCCAAAGTGGCCGCCCTGAGGCTGAGATTGGAAGAAAGGGAGAACGCCCGAAAGAACTCGAGTTTTCCTAAAAAGATTCCTAAACTTGAAACGTCGGTGTCATGCACCAACGAGCAAAAAGACCCAAAACAGCCACCTTGCAAAAGAGAAGGAAAAGGTGAGGCTCGGTTGCTCTCCATCGCTGGTACGGTTTGGGTGTGCTGACCAGGTGTCAAGTTCCTTTGTCCTCCTGAGTCCTTTGCCATTAAGGTGAGTGTTGACCAGGTGGGCAATGACACTATGGTTGTGACCACAGGCCTGAGCAGAAAGACCCCCCCCCCCGCCCGCCTTCTCAAACTTGAGCGGCCTCAGAACCACCTGGAGGGCCTGGTAAAGTACCAGCCAGGCTCCACTTTTGGGGTGTCTGATGCCATGCATGGGCTGAGAAATTGCATTTCTAACAAGTTCCCAGGTGGCCTGTCGGGAGGGCCTCTCTTATAGGCTGCCTGTAGGTGCGTTTAATTCAGGGAGTGTGATTAGGATGCTCTGTTGTTTAATTATCCTTCAAAAAATATTTTATAAAGAGAAGCAGAAGCATTAATCAGTATAACTAATTAGTATAATTAAGTAGACCACCAACTGAGAAGTTCCCAGAAATAAACATTTAGGTACAATTTGGGAGACTCTCCCTTAATCATTGACTCTCATTAAAAACGGCTTCATTGAACTTGGGTTTTCCTCCAAATTTGAGTATAAATTTCTGTCCACCTCACCCTTTGCTTATTGCCTGAGTCTCACGGCTGGGGGAGGGGCCAGGTCTCCACTCCAGGTTTCAGACCCCGCGAGGCTCAGAGCCCTTGTCACTGCCCTCACCTCTGCTTTGCCCGGGGAGTCATATTAACACCAAATTCCATCCCATAGTCCAAATTTTAGCCTCTTATGTGTCAGAGCTCTTCTCTCACTCGCGGAAAGACCCAGTGGAAGTCAGAAGAGAAGACAGAGCAGCAGGGGAAGCCCACCTGGGTCGGAGCGGCCCCCTTAGCTCCGAGGGGCAGGCCTTCTCCTCTGGGCGAGCCCGCGGACTTCTGGGCAGGGCTTGCATTCCCTGTCCATGCCCACGTCCACGGGCCCTCGGCCCTCTTTCAGAAAGGACTCAACACAAAACTATCTTCCGAAGACTTCGGAGGGATCCAACCAGATTCCTAGTATATATGTTTTTAAGCACATTTAAAGAGAATGCAGCAACATTTTAAAAGATCTCCAAAGTGGGTTTGCCGCCAATGGAAACAATCTACTTGTAATGCTTGTCCATGGTTATTCACGTTACCCTCAGGAGAAGGGACAATCTGGTAACCACATGCTGTTGAAAGGTTTGATCCCAGCTGACACACGGCCTCCCTGAGGTCAAAGGGCAACAAGGATGGGGTGCAGCATTTGGGGAGGGGTGGTGCCCGCGCACCCCTGACCTGGTGAGGTAGGACTTGGGGGTGGAAGATGACTTGGATGATTCTGAAAGAAATTAAACCAAGTAACCTTTTTTGGGGAGGCAGGGGACATTCGGAACTTAGTACAACTACACTGCCCGGCCCCTCTTAGCTCCTTCATTTGTGCTGGTCCCTCCGCCCCCCACAAACAGGGCCCCTTCCTGAAACCCCAAGGCCTCCTGTCCAAGCCAGCTTTGTGTCTCTCAAAGTCCCTCACTTAATTCCACCACTCATTTTATGCCCTTTCCTCTGTCCCCCAATTTTCTCTCTGTTCAGAGCTTACAACAAGTGGTAGGTGGGGTTGGCAACCATAGGAACCCTTAGTTCGCTACAAATCACCTCTGAAAATTGCCACTGCAGTGTTGGAAGGGCCCTTGAGGAAATGTGTCCTAAAGGAGGTCAGCTTGGTCGAGACTGAACCAAGAGTATCAGACTGTGGGCCTGGATGCCCGGCATAGCTCACAGGAGCCACATGAGTGGAAACGGGGCTTGCCGGCCATAAATGCTTGTTATGTTTTCTATCTCTGCCATAATATTATTAGTAACTTCAGCAACTCTCTAGTTTGAGAGCATGTTACACAGGCAGCTCATTATCACTTCCTGGGAAGAAGATAAGCCTGTAGATGTGAATTCTGTTATTCAAGGCTCTGTGGGCACCAAGGAGAGATGGGAGGCACGCTTAACACGGCGACTATTTCACAGCGGTGGACTTTGAGGGAACAGCGCACACACGCATCGGCATTGATGACTTTTGTCTTGGTCTGAGTTATACAGTATTTTATGTTACCAAAGATGCAAAGTAATGGAACTTGGTCTCTAATCAACAGACACCACATTTCCAGTAACGCCACTGCCCACTGACTGATTCCAGCCACCTGTCTGGGTCTTCTCTTCTTGTCTTGTTCCACTGTCAATGCTGCCTCCCAGTGGTTGCCCCAAGTAATTACACATGTGCCTGGTTTAAGGCGTTCTGAGCCCTGATTTTAAAAATCAATATTTGAAGGTCTCCTCCCAACTCTGGAAATCATTTCCTTATTGCTCCTTTTTCATTCAAGCAGACATTTCTCTTCTGTTAATGAAATTGATATCAGACATAATAGCAATCTTCAGCAAAGACAATGGTAATCAGAGGCAAGATGAATGAATACTTTTTAGCAAATAACTATTGTTTAATTGCCTTTTACATCTGACAGCTTAACCACAATTATGTGGATGATCCAGATTTTATGTTACTCCCTAATCCCCTGCTCTTATTTTGACCTGGACCATCTGGTGATCATTTAAAAGCATCTTTATTTGAGCTGGGTCCTGTAGACTAGGTATCTAAAATCCTTCTCCCCCATCTTAAAAAAAAAAAAGTCTCTCAAGTTATAGTTCACATTGTGCATCACCGACCTTACTCAGGGAATTTTAAGTAACAAAAAGTAACTATGTAGATTGATTTGTTCACTTACCTAGTGTTGAAGCAGCCACATCTCCTCTCAGACACTTGGTTTTCTCATCCATAAATTGAGGGTCATAATTATTGTCCTCATCTCTGGGGACTGTTGTGAGAATTAAGTGAGAGGAGATGGAAAAGTCTTTTGCCCACTGTTGGGCTCTTTGCAACTGTTACAAGAACACTGACCTGCCGATCTCTCATTCCTAGCTCCGGTATTACTGAAAAAGATCCAAGCTGAGATGTTTCCCGAACACTCTGGAAATGTAAGACTAAGCTGCCAGTTTGCGGAAATTCATGAAGATTCTACTATCTGGTGGACAAAAGATTCAAAACCAATAGCCCAAATGCAGAGAAGGTGCGATGTTTGCCCCTGGTGACTTTTCAATAGTTGCTGCTTATTTCACCTCGCAGCTCTAAAATAAAATAATACATTATAGGAAGTAAAGCAGGAACTTAGAGTAGAAATTCCACACTCAGAGTATCCAGGAAGAGGAATTAAGGGAAGACAGGAGCCTGAATAGGGAAAACGGTGGCGGGTTCTTGTCCTGGCCTGGCCTCTGATGGGTTCCGTGGCCTTAGGAAGTCACAAAACCTTTCGTTACATTCAAACATGTGATTTAAAACCTTTTACATCACAGGTTTAAATTTTAATTTTTAAAATCATTACATTTTTATTACATTCAGGGAACACCTCAAGTCACCTTGTAGTCTGAGGCGCTGTGGCCCCAGCATGGAAGAGCGCTCTTCTGTGTGTCTGTGAATTTTGCCATGTTTTCTGTCACAGCTTCCCCCTAACCTGGTACAGATCAAACTGAATTAAAAGGAAGAGACAGTCCATGTGGCCTTCAGAAAAGTACCCGCTGCTGAGGGTGATAAGCATCCACCTCTGAGATGGGAAAAGCAGTTTTTTCCTGCGGTCCCAGGCTATTGGAGGAGCAGGAGAGTCATTGCTAAGAATACCCTATGTGGGATGGATCTGATTAATGGCTTCTTAGAACACCTTTCTCGCCATAAATGCTGGTTCAGGGGGATTGATGGACTTGAGCTTCATCTGACACACCTGAGGAGGTGGGGCTCGTTCTAGAGCTAGACCACCTGGTTCAATGGGAACCAGCGTAATCCAGACAATCCCCAAAGCCTCTTTCTGCTGAAGGAGGTCGCAGCTCAGCTTTCTGAGTCTTGGGAGGTGTTCCTATCCCTTTAATCTTGTCACAAGCAGACTGAAAAAAGTAAGAAAAATATGAGTTTTCTGTATAATTAAATCAAACATGTCTGCTTGGAATACATCTGGAAGTTAATGTCCCTGATGCAGCTGTGGAAGGTTTGACCTATAGTTCTGCTTCTTTAATATCACCACACAAACCTCACTGGATTGTCACCAATGTGTTAGCTAATAAAGCTGCTTCGCCTAAAATGTCATCCTTACCCTGCCTGTCATACAAATGGCTTAAAAGGAATTAGAATGGAGAAATAATGGCATGATTTTTAAATCAAAGCTATTCTCCAGAGCTTTATCAAAAAGAAGTACTAATTATTCATTTAATTTTTTGTTGGTGTTGCCACCAGCCAAGTGCAATTAACCAGCATTCCCTGCAGCTTTGCCTGAAGCTCAGAACTGGCACCTGAATCTTCCAGGCTCCTTTCCCTTTTGAGGTGTCTGTAGAGAACCTGACCTCCCTCGAGGGGGCAGATAGCATTAGTAGCGCGCTACTTACTGATGACGTGTGCCAAGGCCTCTCACGTCTTGTTGGTGTTTGTTTCCTTTCTTCTTGGCGGCCCTGTCTGCAAGAGGCACACCCGTTTGCCCTCTCTCTGCTAACACATGAGAATATTGGGGAGTCATAATTCCTTTGTATACTAACAGATGATGTATGTTATTTCCCGTGGGATTTCAGATGGTGTCACATTTCTTTCATCCCTGATTTCAGTTCAGTGTTTCCGTTACATGTCCTTCCATGAGTCACTTATCAAGAGTAAAGATCTGCTTTTCCTTGTCCCTTATTGTGTCTGGGTTTAGAGTCAGGTTTGAAGTTTTAGGTTCTCCTTCAGGCATGAGTCATCTGGATTAATAACATGACTGAGGTGGATCCTGATCAGACATTCTGATCAGCCCCCAGAATTCGCGATGCTAGTTCTTTGTTTTATTAACAACAGTCAACCCTCTCAAATGTTTCTGTGTGTTGACATTGCATTTAGGGGAGAGAGTGTTAAGCCAGAATTGTCCTGATCATCCCCTATAGATAAAAATATTATTTAAGCAGCTCACCACGATCTTGTCCTTTAGCCAGTTCATTGGCTGAAAACACCAGGTCGGAGACACATTAGTTCCTTTCGCCTTAAGTGCATTAGAAAAATGCGACTTCCGAATGATGACACGTGCTGATGTTAATATCCCCCCTCAGCGCAGGAGACCACTCCGTTGTGTCCTTGGCCGTCGTTCAAGCCAGTCAGAAGGACCAGGGCCGCTATGATTGCTGCGTCAAGAACAGTTATGGAAAAGTGACCACTGAATTTAACCTCACCCCTGAAGGTAAACCTCGGCATTTCTGTTTCAGATAAATGAGAACCACTAACGCCTACCAATTTAAGAGTGTTCCTTTGTTCTGAAAGCATTCTCTTCTGTATCTTCTTCCAGTTCTCAAACAACTTTCCAGTCACCAGGATATTAAAGGTAAGCCAACCTGAGTGGGGTGCCGCGGACTGGGCCCATCACAAAGCCTGAACTAGCTCCCGGAGTCAATGGCGGAGGCGACATTCCCAGGGAGTCTCCTAACCAAATAAGACAGAGCTCAGGGATCACTGAGAACTGAGTGAAAACTCATGATCCACTTCAACCTGATCCTAAGGCCTATATCTCTAGGCTACAAATATCCAGAAGTGTATCATTTATGAAAGAGATCAGACTGTAGCGGGCAGTTGCTGGGAACATGTGGAGGGGGAATTTGGGGTTAGGTTTTTTCCTTTAAGCATCAGACTAGCATTCAGCCATCTGCAGGGGATTTTTCAGCCTCTAGCACTTACATGGCATGTTTTGTTTCTTCAGTTTAGTTTTCACTTTCACTAGCTGAGCAAATTCCCAAAGAAGTCCAGGTGTCTAGGAGTACAACTCCATTTATTTGCATCTTAATGAAGATGACAGGCGGGCTTGAGGGCTCTCTTTTGGCGCTGGTGCACACCTGGTGTAGCAGCAGCCTCACAGCTGCTCCGGGACACTCCCGCTGCCCCTGGGCCACGCACTGAGCCCAAGGTTGACCTTCAGAACCTCAAAGGGGAAGCCACACTTAACTCCCAACAGAGCTGTAGCTCAAAGATGAGATGGACCTCAAAGATGGGTCGCTGAGGAGGGTATAGTGTACAACTAAATTCGAGCTATGTTTTAGGATGTGAAGAGATTGAGTTCAGCCAGCTTATCTTCAAGGAAGACTTCCTCCGTGACCGCTACTTCGGGGACCGCCTACGAGGCCAGATCGCCACGGAGGAGCTGCACTTTGGAGAAGGCGTCCACCGCAAAGCCTTCCGCAGCAAAGTCATGCAGGGCCTCCTGCCTGTCTTCCAGCCTGGCCACGCCTGTGTGCTCAAGGTGCACAATGCCGTGGCCTATGGGACCAGAAACAACGATGAGCTCATCCAGAGGAACTACAAACTCGCTGCCCAGGTGTGTCCACCTGTGCTAAAGATGTCACTTGAGGAGAGAGAGGGGCCATGATAATCAGACTCAGAACTGATGGAGTGGCTCCAAGAGGAGGTTCTTCTCCCTTTGGGGTGAAGGCTGACTGCCGGGAATCATGTCTCAGTTCCGACGAGTACTTCTTGGCCTTGTGCCAGCCAGACGGGGCTCAGCCTCTGTCTGGAGGCGCCTCGCCGGTTCTGACCTGTGCTGAGGTCTTTCCTAGGAAGCTCCGCGACAGCTCTGAGGTTTGAATCTGCTTGGACACCGGATGATATGGAAAGTGGCGGGGGTGGGTGTCTAAGCTGCACTGGATGCCAGGATCCCCAAAGACAGCTAAAATCAGGAGTGGTTTCTGGACTGTTTCATTTTGGACGGAGGGGGTTGGGGGTGGGATATATTAAGGAGGACAGGACAGAAGCATCTGCCCCATATCCTGTCTTCCTGAGTTTGGTTCAGTGTCAGCCCATAAGCCATGAAGGGAGAGCGCCCCGAGTCTCCAGCTAAGTCCCCACCTCTCTATGCTGGTGAGTCACAGAACTCTGGTGGCGAGAGGGGAGGAGAGCACTACCTGCTCTCCCTGCCCCCCTCCCAGCTTGGTCCATGAGCTTCATTCTTGACACCAGCGCTGGCTAAACTTTCAGAAACCGCGGGTCTACCTCTTTTACAAACCAGATGCCCTTTTACAATTTCTGTCTACAAAATGAGTAGACTGGACTTAGGTGACTATCTCGGGTGCTGTCAAGCATTTGCCGCCCCTGATTCTCCCCGATGTGGCTGTGTCACGTGGGACTTGGTGCTCATGGAGGCAGCCCCTCTTCCGCGGGGAGAGGATTTTGCCAATTGTATTTCATTCTCCACGCCCACCCCTCTTTTTCCTTTCTTTCACCGAGTACTCCTCCCATCTCAACTATCACCTGGCCGTGCCCCAACATGCAGACTCCCACTCAGAAATGCCTTACAGAGTGGAAAGCAGAATCCGATTTGCTTTTCCTACACCAACAATCTTATAAAGACGTTCACTCTTTCCAACTCAAATTACACTGTTGAAGAAAAACCTCAATGGGGGAGCTCACAGGAAACCCTGCGAGCCCCAAGCTTGACCTGACATCTGGCCGAGGGGCCAGTCCTGCTTAGTTCAGGGATGAACTTCAGACATGCAGTTCTACAGAGTTTGTAATTCAGGGACACCTGGCCCCTGAGACCACTTGACCTTCACCTGCAGGTCTCGTTCCTGCAGGTCTCAGAGCTCCCCACGAGTGGCCAGCTCTGGGTGGCAGTCATTGTTGCGTCTGTGCCCACGACTGGGGATAGGTTTGGGAATCCATCAGCTTTGCCTCTATTAGGGAGTCTGATTAGTTTCACCAAACCACTCTCTGAATTTCCTCTAATCACTTGACTTCCCCATGTGTTTGGGTGATACAGGAATGCTACGTTCAGAACACTGCCAGATACTATGCTAAGATCTACGCTGCCGAAGCTCAGCCTCTGGAAGGCTTCGGGGAAGTGCCAGAGTAAGTATGTGTCCCCTCTCCTGTACTTCTGCCTCTGACTTGTTGGGGACTTAGGGGCAGGGCCTGGAGGGAAGACAGGGTGAGAAGGACCAGTAAGACAAGCATTTTGATTGGTCTCTCTGGAAACTGTGAGGACACCCATGGCTGCTAGCTCTCCTGTTCTTCCTTGGGTCACCAGAAGCTTACAGAAGGATACTTGTTAAGTATTCTTTAAATAAATGTATGTGTGGATGGATGGGTGGATGAATTCAATAAATGTACCTATCGTGTTAAATCAGAAAGAAGATCTCTAATCTCAGGAATATTACATTATTTGAACAATAAGCAAATATAAGAGAACACAGGAATACTACAAAGTGATTAGCCCTATGATGAAAATAAAATATGGTGCCATGTCCAGAAAGAGTGAATTGGGGGATCAGGATTATGGGAACGTGATACCCAGTTCCTGGAGTTCAACAGAGATAAATTAACAGATTACTTTTACCCACTCACAGACGATTTGTTCACCCAGGCAAATGTTGGCACCCTACTGCTCTGAAGGTGGATTAGGGCATTTCGCTATCTAAGACCCCTTTCCTTCCTGACCAGGGGAGAGTGTGAGACCATGGGGCTGGTGATAGCTTATGGAGGGCAAAGTCCCTGCAAAGGAAGGCGGGGATGATTCTTTTAAAGGATGGAGAGGCAAGAACATGCTTGTGGCTTTTGAGGCAGAGAGAGGAAATAAAGAGATGATAATAATCAACGGAAGACAAAACCTGAGACCAGGGATTGGCAAACCTTTCTGCAAAGGGCCAGAGAGTAACTATTTGGGGCTCTATGGTCAAGAGGCAAAAGTCAAGGCTGTTATGTAGATCCTTAGGTTACAAATCCTTATTGATGTATTTTAAAATAATAATAATAATTGAATATAATTGTTGATATATGTTTGCTAAAGAGAAGAATGAAATTCTTTTTTTTTTAAAGTAACATTTTGCTTAATTGGGGTTCAGCGTGTGTTTCCTATGACCAAAACAATTGCAAATGTTCCTCTGTAAAACTCATCCTTAGCTCATGGGTGGAATGAAAACAGGCATCGTGCTGGGTTTGGCCCATAGGCAGCTGTCGGCATAGCTCCTCCTGCAGGGAGGGGTGGGTGAGAGACGAGAGCAATGCCCAGGCAGGCGGGAGTCTCAAGGCTGCGGAGAAGTGAGGAACCAGCAAAGGAGACAGAGACAAAGTAGCTGGGGAAGCAGGAGGAAAACCAAGAGGAAGGGAGTTTCTGGAAGCCATGGGAAGGTGTTTCAAAAAGAAGTGAGAGCAACTCAGTCAAGAGCCACTGAGAACAAGTAAGATGAGAGCCAGTGAGAGGCCATTAATTAGACTCAGCCACATGGTGCTCACAGTGCCATTGATCAAAGCTTCTTTAGTGGGAAAGCGTCGTGAGGTGGGTGCAAGAGAGGATGGGAGGGAGAGGTTGGAGGCGGTGCGTCTACAACTGCCTTGAGTTTTCATGTAAGCTCAGGGTCCATGCGGTCCACGGAGATACTGCAGCGTGTTGCTATGCCATTGAGAATGATGCTGCAGAAGGAAAAATCTCCGGGGCAATATCCTTGAGAGGGATTCGGATCGAGGCCCCAGTGGGAGAGAAGGTTCGAGCAGGAGCAAAGAGGGTTCCTCCTGCACAGGAGGGACGGGAAGGCGGAGGGTGCGGGAGCAGACCTTGGGAGATGGGAATACGTGGGATGGCGGCTCTGGGTGTTCTGTTCCTATTGAGTGCTCCCAGTGGAGCAGGAAGCAAGGGCATCAGCTGAGAGTGAGACTGTGGGAGGACGCGGGGGCCGGTAGAGGCCAGTGGAGCAGGTATGAAATAGCCGGCTAGGACGGGGTGACCGTGGGTGGGTTAGTGCCGGAAGATGCATTTAAGGCCTGACCCTTCTCCGCTTCCAGCTGCCATCACTACCACAGAGCTTCCTATCTGGGCTCCTGCGTCTGCTCTTGTCCTTGCACAGTCTGCCCACACGCAGTGGCAGAGAGTCATCCTGGAAACACAGAAGTTTGATCATGCCACTCCTTTGCCCAACACCCTCCAATAGCTTCTCGTCCAATTCAGCACAAAGGGCAGAGTTGTCAAATGGCCAACCAGACCCCCAAGGTCTGGCTTCGCGTTCCCTCTGTCCCCACTCACCTCCCATGTCCTCTCCTTGCTCACTGCCCTGCAGCCACATGGGCCCCTCACTGCGCTTTGAACAAACACATCAGGAGCCTTTTCCATATGTCACTCCTTCTACCTGGAAGACTCTTCCTGTAGATATAGTCATGCTCCTCCACCCTCACTTCCTGCAGGTCTCTGCTCAAGTATCCTTTATTAGCAAGGCCTCCCTAAGTAAAATCAGCCCCTTCCCTACTCCTGGACCTCCCACCTTCTCTCCACAGCTGTATTTTTTCTCTGGCACATAGCAATATACATTTACTTGTTTACTGCCTGTCTCCTTCATGTAAGTGTAAGATCCGTAAGAGCAGAGCCTGTTTGCTTTACTGCCGTTTTCTGGAATAGAGTCTGGAAGAGTGTCTGACACCTGGAAGCAGCTGAATGAGTGTTTGTTGATTTGTGACCTGAATGGAAGGAAGGAAGGACCGAAGGAAGGCTGGGAGGTTGGACATATAATGGACGGATAGATGGTTTACAGTCACATGACCAAGGGGTCATTGACATATGACTACAGTGAGACATCCATTTCTACGCTAACAATTCAGGAGGAGTTTCTGACCAACTCTAGGGACAAATAAAAACCAGAAACACATCCTTTTACTCAGTAAAAAAATCATTGCGGGGGCGGGGGGTTTAGTCTAATCTAATGGAACCCAGGGGTTTATTCTGCAGCTCCCTGCCACTCCAGGTGAGGAGAGCATGCCCCCCAAAGTCTTTATTCCCATCGGGGAGCATGACATGTGCCCATGTTCTCTTCCCTTCCAGGATCATTCCTATTTTTCTTATCCATCGACCTGAGAACAACATCCCATACGCCACGGTGGAGGAGGAGCTGATGGGAGAGTTTGTGAAGTATTCCATCAGGGATGGGAAGGAAATCAACTTCTTGAGAAGAGACTCGGAGGCTGGTCAGAAGTGCTGCACCTTCCAGCACTGGGTGTACCAGAAAACGGGGGGCTGCCTCCTGGTCACCGACATGCAGGGTGAGGAAAGTAGTCTGGCCTTGGCTCGGGCCATGGAGGCCCTCGCCGGTCCTGGGGGAGGGGGAGGGGTGTGGGGGCTGCCTCTAAGCGCCTTCACCAGCAGGGGGTGTTACGAAAGTCTCATCAGAAACAAGGTGTGACAGAGGAGCCAGAAATGATCAGCCAAATGGAGCCATAAAGTACATGTTCATCATTCATGCCAATTACAACAGGCAACCAAAGATTGACTTTCTTGCATCCTCAGCAGGCGCAGATTTGGAAGTATACACGGGAATCCGGATGTGCCGAAAGTTAAACTAAGATGTAATCATTCATTCTTGATAGGGGAAAGGGTCTTTCAGAGTTACTTTAGATTTCGAGCTCCCTTGGTGAATTTGCAGCATGTTTTCAATGTATACACACATTTTTTATGAGTACGCTGAATACGATTGTTGTGTGAAGTGAGGATGTCATAATTAGGTTCCCCACAGAAGCAGCCCTGAGGCAAGTCACAGTTTGGGGGTCCCCAAGACCCCCGTCAGGTTCATTCGTTTGCAGGAAGGACTCACAGATCTCAGAGAAGCTGTTATACTCGTGGTTACAGTTTATTGCAGCCAAAGGACACAGATTCACAGCAACGAAAGGCAGAGGTGCGTGGGGCAGAGTCTGGGAGGGACCAGGTAGAGGGTCCCAGGTGTCCTTTTCTGGCAGAGCCATGGGGACAGTGCTTACTTCTCCAGCCATGACATGTAGCAACACGCATGGACAGCTGCCAACCAGGGAAGCTCACACGAGCCTTGGCGTTCGAGTTTTTATCAGGTTCCATCACACATGCATGACTGGCTGCCCATGAAATTGACCTCAGCCTCTAGCCTCTCCAGAGGTCATGCTGACTCTACTTGGCCCAAGGTACCAGGTAGACAAAGCTACTCTTATCAGGCTGGACATTCCAAGGGTTTAGAAATGAACCCCGAGGAGCTGGATGAGGCTTGAACCTTTGGTCCAGGTCTGCCCTTTACTGCATGCACATAAATGTTCAAGTACAAATAGGTGAGAGGGGACCCCAGTAAACTCTGGGGGGGAAGCGGAGAGGTGTAACAGGGAGGGAAGGGAGGGAAGGGGGGACCCTCCCAGGGTGGCCAGTCACCGCTGTGGGCAGCTGACACTCACGCCCCCCGGGGAGCCTGCTTTGTGCAGCGCGCGAGTCTCAGAATCCCCGCCCCCAGGGGTGACCGCCTTTCGTTACCAGCGGAGGGCGCCACCTGCACACGGGCTAGCCGAGCAGAGCCGAGCAGAGCCGAGCAGAGCCGAGCAGCCTCTTGCGATCAGAGAAAGTTCTCAGGCAGAGATGCTGGCCGTGCACCGGGAGGCGGGGCCAGCTGCACAGAAATGGCTAGTGTGAGGGCAACGGGTGCTGCGCCGACAGCTCTGCCGCAGGCCTTCCTATTCCTTTTCCCTTCCAAATGATCAAGAAATAGCTGAACTGTAACCGTATGCCTGCCAAACGCCAGGCATTGCCCTGGACACCGATCCTAAGACCTAGCAGGAGCAGGTGGCGAAAGCCAGGCTGCCTGTGGGCTCTGGCCCCTGCTCCTGCCCTTGCTGGCTGCTAGCCTTGGGCAAATTGCTCACCCCTCTGTGTGCCTCAGTACTTTTCACATGGGGCTGTGGTGAAGACTAAATGAGGTAGCAAAACAGTCAGTGAGGCACATGTTCCCTAGTTTAAAAAAAATGCTTGTTTTGAAATAACCGTAGACACAGGAAGTTGCAAAAATGTACAGAGAGGTCCCTATGGACTCTTCATCTAGCTTTGCCCAATGCTAACATTTTACAGGACTATAGTGCATATCAAAAGCTGGAGGTTTGCCCTGGCTGGTGCAGCTCAGTGGATTGCACATCAGCCTGAGAACCAAAAGGCTGCTGGTTTGATCCCCGGTCAGGACACATGCCTGGGTGGAGGGCCAGGTTCCAATTTGGGTGCGTGGGAGAGGCTACCGATGGATGTTCCTCCTCACACATCCATGTTTCTTCCCCTCTTTTTCTCCCTCCTGTCCCCTCTCTCTAAAAATAAATAAATAAAATCTTAAAAAAAAACAAAACCAGACCCAGAGACTCACATTGGCACAATCTGACTACAGACTTGCATTGGATTTCGCTAGTGTTTGTACAAGCAGAGGGGTCCAAGGCTCGAACTTGTGACTCCTGACTCCAAACCCCAAGCTCTTTGCACAAACCCATAGTTTTACAAATTGGCCAGAGATTTCCAAGTGCCTCCAGAAGCCCAAGGCTCCTGTGAGGGGCTCCTCGAAAGCCAGATGGAAAGCACCGCATCACCGTCTTGCAGATGGGGCTGCTCTGCAAGCTGCAGGCAGCCACCCCGGCGGCTTTAAGAGACTTCCCAGCCACACGCTCACCAATGTGGTTTCGGCAGACTGCTATCTATTCTAATTAGGCTATGCTGTGCAATCAGACGCTCCCCATCTTTTCTCTTTCAGGGTTCACTTTGCATTAAATAGAGTTCTCCCGCCGCAAAGTAACACCCTGGAGCTTCATGCACAGCTAGTTTCATGTCCAGGCGCTAGTAAACAACCCTGGTAGAACATTACCTCTCTCCGTAAATGAGGTGTACGGTTTAATGGGGTGTTTCATGATGGCGTTTATTTACCCTCTGCAGCTGCTGCTGGGAGAAATCTCTTCAGGGCCATCCTCATTATGGCACGAGAGAGCACATCCATTCCCTAAACAACATCCATATTTTATAAATTGAGACACTGGAATTAGCATTAAATAAACACACAGACCCAAACTCAACCATTACCTTCTCTGACTCTTAAAAGCTATCCCCTCCCTGGTGCCTTTGCTTGTTGATAGGATGGTGGCAGATCCCGCAGTTTTGAGGAGTGACAGCCAGACCCTAAGACATGCACACGGGGGAGGCACCTCGGGTTCCGAAGAAGTTGTCACCCAAAAGACCCAAGAACTCAAATTCTGGAGGACGAACTCGTATTGCTGCTTACTTCTTTCTTTCCAACAGAGACAACCTGAAAAGGATTATTACCCCCAACACAGCTTAATAGCCGCACACTAGAATTTAAATTATTGTCCTGTTGAGACCTGTAATAACCTTGGTTGAATTGCTGGCAAATTATTAAACCAAGAGAGAGATGTTACCTTTTAGAAATCATATTCAATTTTTCTAAATTGTAAGTGACAGCTGGGAACTGTGAGAAGCAAGAAAAGCAATTCTCAAGTTCAAGGACCTTTTGCCAAATGACTTTTAAAATTGGACTTCTGTGCAGCTTAGAGCTGCGATTTTTCCACTCTGACTTTCCACAAAAAGAGATGTCCAAAGAGGGCTTTTGCAATTTGGTGTTAAGCACAGTCCTGTGAGGAAAGCTATGTGAAGCATTTCTGCAAATGGGCTAGCTGTTAGTGGCTTTAAAAGAATGAGATGGATTCTTGGCCACCTGTGAAACAGGCTTTTAAAATGCTCACCAGGTCACCCCAAGCGCCGTGTCTAAGTAATTCAGCCCACAGGTGTGCAGCGGGAAGGCAGGGCTGACGAACCAGCCCGCCAGCAGCATGGCCCTTATTTTGGCCGTGGGCCAGGCTCAGAATCCGTCTGAACCTTGTAGGGCCCCTTTCCTGAGCCTCAGAAAACAGCGCTCTGTGGGTTTGCCATCAGGCCAGACCTCAGGGCTGGCTTTGGCGGATGCTGCTTCCTTCGTCCACAGCCCAGCCTGGTTTCTGTGCGGCCAGGCCCCTCAGTGAGCAGGTCTCCTGCTGGCCGGGAGTTGGGGATGGATACAGCCATCCCAGCCTGGCTCCGATAGGACAAGTGTCGCAGCAAGTGAGGAGCAGGCAAGACTCAAGCCTGGTGTCTGGCTGGTCTGGACAGACTGGAAGGGTAGTATGGTGGGCTCCAAAAGCCCATCTTGAGGTTGCGATGGCGAGGCTGAAGCAGAGGTCTGCCGGGTTGAAACAAGCGCCAAAGCCCCCACCCAAGGGAGGCGGGTCTCCCCTGAGCTGCGGTGTCCGCCGAGGCCTGCCTTCCCAGGTCCGGGCCCGCGAGGCTGATGCATGTCGGAAAGTCTGTCGGCCTTGCCAGAAAGGGGACCTGGCTCATGGAGCCACAGAGCATGTGTCTGTGCAGGACCAGGCTGCCAGGGCAATGCCCCCACGCCCCGCCCCACCCCGCCCTTCCTGAGCATCCGTGTAACACCTGTTCTGTCTCTGCCCTCCCTTCCTGCAGGTGTGGGAATGAAGCTGACCGACGTGGGCATAGCAACACTGGCTAAAGGGTAAGTAGGAAAAAAAAAATCCAGTACATCTTATCCTTCAGCTCTGGGCTCCCAAACACCTTCCAGGCAGACGCTGTTCGACCGATGTGGGCAGAGCAGATTTCTTGTTCTCACTGTGGGTGACAAATGTTCTTGGATGAATTCAGTTCATTTCTCTCACTTACCTAAAACATGTATGGACTTTGTCCTCCCAGGAAAACACAGTTGTGTCCTAACTTTGAAACAAGAACTCTGCAAAGGCACTTCAAGATTAATTACAAACAGGGAGGCCATGGGGGGTGGGGGCTGGGGTATGCCAACACTTTTGGGATTTCTTTTAACTATGAATGTTTGATTTTCTACATTTAACATCTTTACTATTAGAAGTGTCAGTAAAATATATATATATATATATATATTTATTTATTGACCCATCATTTGAATGCAATAAATTCAGTTTGCATATTTTTATATATTTTCCCCCAAAAGTCCTTTGGGCGGCGCCCAGACTTCCATGGTGGCTACAGGAGCAAATGGCTCTGCCAGGGCTCTGCGTAGTTACCCGACTTGTTGCTGATGGTTCTCTTTCCCGGTGCTTGCGCGGAGCGTGCCCAGACCCGATGGCACCATCACAGCTTTCTGGGGCATCTCTAGCACACTGTGCCTGCTCGCGGCCTTGCTTGACCATGGCCCGGAAGGCAGGCTCCTTTGGTTCTTGGGAAAAACGGCGGGCTGGGATGGAGCCACTGTTGCCTTGCCCACTGCCGCTGTTCCCAGGCACCAAGACCGCTTGTCAGGATGAGGGAGTAGAGGGCAAAGGACTTGCAGAAGGCATGGCTTCTGTTTGAAAATGTAGCTGCTATTATTGTTCTGTTTGGGCGAGGCCAACAGATCAGGAGGTGATCACTGTTGAAAAGACAGTTATTACAGTTCCCGAGAGGAGGGGGCGGGCCATGTAACAGGGGGCGGGTAGGTTGGCAGAGGCAAAGCAGCAGCCTCAGTCGGGGGAAATACGAGCAAGGCCCCTTATTGTGGGCTCTGCAGGAAGGAATGGGTTGTCTAGTTCGAACATTTTCAGTGGGCCCTGGGGTGTAGGGACTGTCCCTAGTTGTCTGGTATCTGCCCCGGGGAGAAAGTGGCCCTGACTGTGAAACTCCAATGGAGGAGGAGGGGGGTGGAAGGCTCTGGGTTGGTTGGTTTGTATATGAAAGAAGGCATTCTGGGAGGCCAATCATTTACTCTCTCTAGGAACTGGCCAGCCCTGGGGAGGGGCAGTCTCTCCAGGTCCAGCAAGGCCCCAGATGCCAAAGCATCGGAAATACAGAAAATAAGACCAAATGGTTAATACAGCTTTCTCTCCCGAGCTGGTAACAACTTATCGGAGTGAGCATTCTGGTTATTTCAGCTCGTTGGCCTCAGCAGCGCTTTAACAAGTAAACTAATATCCAACCTTAATGAAGGACAGAGTAAAGGAGAGGGATTTGGGGAAAAAGTGGACAGGGGACGGCTTTTTTTGTTTTAATCCTCACCTGAGGATATGTTTATTGATTTTAGAGAGAGAGATGGGGTGGGGGAGAGAGAGGCACTGACTGGTTGCCTCCTGTATGTGCCCCACCTGGGGATCAAACACGCAACCTTTTGGCGCATGGGACAATGCTCCAACCAACGGAGCCGCCATTTCTTTTACCCTTCAGATCAACAAGTCTGAATCGACTGAACTTTGGTCCTAGAACTTAGATGCAGTTTGGATATTTTTCTTCTGAAAAGCTGCTCAGAATAAGACAATTTGGTGTCAGGACTCTCTCCACCCCTCGCACTGACCAATGATCTCAAAGTCAGGGAAGCTGGTCATGGCCTGGGGCTTGGGAAGACAGCACGTCGGGAGTGGGGATGATATAGTGGGGGAAAGGTGGTTGCAGAGAGAGACTTGGGTTTAAACTTCAGTCCCGCCACTGCCTTTGAGTCAGTCCCCTGCTGGCAGCCTTGCTTCTTGTGTCACAGGCCTTTCCTGGCCTGTGTGATGAAGAGGGCAACTGGACACCCCGGTTTCTCCAGGGTGGTGCCCTTGCCTGCGTGCTGTCCTAGCAGCCCATCTAGCTAGGAACCGGTACTGGCCAGGGGCCCCCATTTAGAAAAATTATATAGTGCCCTCATTTATGAAGAGACTGCTCCGGACCCCAAAAGAATTTCCCGAGTAAAGCTTTCCTCGACGGACGCCATGTTCTCTGCGGAACGTTACAAACTCGAGCGTCATCCAGATCTGGCTTGAATGCTGGGATCTTGTCTTGCCGGCTATGTGGGCATGTGACGCTAAGTTCTCGAGGCCACTGGTCTACAGAATGGGGACCCAGGGGGCTGTCTCGAGGATTCCCCCAGTGAATCTACATTGAGTCCCTGAAGCTCCCTATGTACTTGATAAATGGCAGTTTCCTTTCCCTGCCATGCCTCAGCCGGGCACCAGAATAGTCAGATTTCATGCCGCCATTTAGAACTTGCTACCAAATCAGAGCAGAAGCTTGCCCAGGAAGTTTCAAAGACTAAGACAAGCTTAAGGGCATGATTACTTAAGATATCTTTTAAAAGCATCTTAACAACTTCCAGGAACCCAGATCACATTTTTCTCCTAATTTGAAAAGAAATCCAATGCCTTGGTTTTGTTCTTAGCTTTCATGTGACTTGTCTGGCCTGGGACAGCTGCCCAAGACCCATTAGAAGAACTGATGGCTGGAGCCTGGTGCAAAATGCTGTCTATAAAGTGTTACCTACCGTCTTCCCTCCCGAGTGGTGGTCAGGGAGCTGGAGGTGGGAAAGAAGTGTGTTGTGAAGAGCCCGAGAGCTTCGAGGTGGATATTAGATCATCCTGTTTCTTGTTTCTTTTTAAAAGATTTTATTTTTAGACAGAGGGGAAGGGAGGGAGAAAAAGAGGGAGAGAAACATGGATGTGCGAGAGATACATCGATGGGTTGCCCCTCACATGCCCCCAACTGGGGACCTGGCCTGCATCCCAGGCATGTGCCCTGACTGGGTATCAGACCGGTGATCCTTCAGTTCGCAGGCTGGCGCCCAGTCCCCTGAGCCATACCAGCCAGGGCTATTGCTTCTTTTTAGATTTTTCTTGAAGCTTTCCCTTTTAAGTCACAATTTTTTCCCCCAAGAGAAACATTTCTTAGAAGCCCAGTTAAAAATACTGATAAAAGGGGAACCTCCAATCGGAGTGTGAGGGGTGATTGGCAGATTCCCTCAGAGGCCCCTGGGAACCACTCTGCTCGGGCGTAAAAATCACCAACCACGTCCAACCTTCTTACGTCCCAAGTGAGGAGCAGGGGGTGCAGGCGAAGGGAGAAACCTGCCTGAAGGCCGACGCTGCCTGAAGCAAGGCGACCGAGGGAAAGGGCGGCTCCCCTGCATTCAGGGGTGAGACTCGACTGAAGAAACCCTCCCGTGGGAACCAATGCTGCAAAGCAGAGCTCAAACAATGAGGAGAGACTTGGAAAAGGTTGTGATCCAAAGGCAGCTTGCAGACAGGCTGAGAGAGGTCGGGGGAAGCAAGGAGAGAGTCAGGGAAGGCAAGGTTGGGGCGCGGAGCATTGTGGAGGGCTTCCAGAGAGCAGGAGAGGAGATGGATGACGAAGCAGCAACGAAGCTCATGCTCTTTATTCTTAGCAAATGCCCTCCAGATGCTCAGCGCGCCCACGCCTGAAGGCGGACCGGCACTGCCCTGAGAAGCCGTGCTCTGTGTAGGCAGCGGTACCAATGATTGTTTAACTGCACTAGGAAGCTCTCAACAGGTGGATGGAAGAAGCAATGAGGAAGCAAATCTGACTTGCTTTAGTAAGAACCAACAATGATAACAAGAATAAACAATACTCTGAATTAGTTAGAACAGGAAGGAAAAGTCCTCCCAGATTTGGGGCCCACCCTTTTCTGGCCTTGGCAGGATCTTCTGCAGGCGGAGGGGACACGGGGTCACTTAAAGGAAATACTCCACGCGTCTCAATCTGGACCATGGCTGCTGCCACCATCAATGCGACCTGTCTGGTTCCCTTGTTTAGTGAAGTCAGAGGGCATGGCCCTATTTTGAGGGTAAATAGTTACTTATTATCTCATAAGATAAAACAGGGAACTGTCAGGATTCATTTTTTTCAATGCAACTTCACCTGAGAGTATGATCCTAAGAACAGAAATGTGTTGTATTTGTCCTCGGAACCAGCAATGGGACTGTGTCTGGAAACGCACCCACAATCCTTTGGCAGTGTTGAGTATGAAAATGGCAAGTTGTGAAGTCTGGCGAATAGGATTGTTTGGATACCTAACAATCCATTTTCTAGGCAGACCCCACAAGACACTACCTGCGGAACATTTCCAATTTGAAATTGCTCTCTGGAGAGGAGAAGGAAAAATGCCTAATTCTGTAACTGGGGATTTGGTCACTTAACCTAATCAAACCAAACCAAAACCAGTGTAAACCGGCGCCTGCAGGCGAGCAGACCTGCAGGAGACCCGGTGGGTCCTGAGAACACTCGCCCCTCCCTAGCCAGCAGCTGAGGAAATGGCGAGATTGTCATTTCACCACCAGAGGGCATCAGAGCCAACACTTTTGCCCCCTGTAGTCTCCTTGCAAAGCCCATTTCACGTTGCAGATTGAAGCCAAACAAAGAGATGTACCCTGAGCAGGTTTCTTCCCAGTCAGTAAGCACTGGACCAGGATGGGATTGGTGTGAATAGCCACAGAGGACACCCCTCAGCATAGCCACCAGCTAGCGTCGCGTCTTCCTGCTTTTGGAAGAAAGAGTGAGGAGCCGGAAGGCGTGTGGCAAGAAACCACATTCAAAAGAAGCCTGGACAGAATCAGGAATGGCTCCTTCCCCACATAGCAGCGAATGGGAGGTGACAAGGGCCCAAATAGCAAGGCAGACGCCGCATGGTGAGGACAATGGCCACGAGAAAGCAGGCTCCGCTGGCCCCCGTGTGCCCAGCTCTCCTCTGCACGCCGCGGGAAAGAGGAAGGATTAGAATCAACCCCCACGTTCAGTCAGGCCCCAGCTTTATCCTCCATGTGCACACACGCATACACGCGCACGCACACACCAAACCAGGGTTTTACTTCAATGCTATGCCCTTGTCACCATTCCCCATAAATAAAAATTTTCTGTAGAAAGGACGTGAAACGAAAACTTGAGTGATAAACAGCTTCTGGCTGGCTTCCAAAAGGGTTACCGCCATATGGGGACGCTCTTTAGGCTTTCTTTTTCTCATCTAGTTTTCCTTAACCGAGCCCTTTATGAAGCCAGACAAGCACTGCGATTTCTTCCATGCAACCAGAGCTGGAAGTGTCCGCAGCCTTGCTCTGCCCCTCCCCGCCCCCCAGGTGTGTTGGGAAACTAGGAATTGCCCAGGAAGCTGTAATAAGCTGAATCAGAAGGGGGTCATGCTGTCAGCTGGTGATGTTTGTATGAGAGGAAAGAAAAAGGAATAGTTTTTGAGCAAGAAATCCACCTAGTACAGGTTCAACACGTAGGGAATCCAGGCTTACCTGGGAGATACTGTGGGTTTGGGTCCAGACCACCCCAATACAGCCGGGCACCATCTTTTTGCTGGTGGAAGGTCTCGCCTTCCGTCTGTAAAGACACAGCACCTGTAAGGCACAGTCACATGCGATGTGCCTGGATTGAAGAAATCTGTGTTGAGTGAGGGCAGGGATCGTGGAAAATAGCTTCCTAGCTCCCCCCAGAACTGGAACATTACAGTGCGATTCGATGATGTTGTGTGACACAAATTTCAAGGAGAGAAGATAGAGTTGTGTTCCAATTTCAATATGAAGATGTTTCCCAGGCCAAGAGGGATGGCTGAGGTCATTCACACCACAGTCTACCTCCGTCTCTGCGCTGCTCCACCTGGGCTTGGTAGAAGGTCACGCCCCACCCCAGACCCGCCCAGCACAAACCAGCATTCTAACAAGATCCCTGGGTGATTTGCATGCCCCTCCCATCCAACAGAAAAGATATTTGAGAAAAGATTCCATTGGGTGATGCTCAGTGGAATAGATCCATTGTTCCATTCCTGGAGGCAGTGAGTGAGGATGGGTAGATTAACATAAAGGTGATGGGCTAGCAAAGTATGTTAAGTTGAAGTGAAAGACAAAAAGATCCAGCTAGTAAAATCCCACAGAGATAAAGTTTCTGAAATTGGAAATGTGTGGGAAAGTTCTCAAGCGCAAGGTTCTTTATTCCGTTGTATTATTTCGTAGGGCCGCCATAACACATTAACACAAGCTGGGTGTCTTTAAACAACAGGAGTTTATTATCTGGCAGTTCTGGAAGTCAGAAGTCCGGAATCTAGATGTCAGCAAGGTGTGAGCAGGTCGGCGCCTCGTGGGGGCTGTGAGGGAGAAGGGTTTCCACGCTCCGCTCCCCGGCGTGGCTGCCTTGGCATCCTTGGCTTGTAGGTGCATTGCTCTAATCTCCGCCTCCGTCGTTGCGTGGTATTCTCTCTGCGAGTTTATAACTGTTCTCCCTTCTTACATAGTCACCAGCAATATTGGATTAAGGACCCACTCTCCTCCAGTATGACTTCGTCTTAATGACATCTGCAATGACACTATTTCCAAATAAGGCCACATTCCGAGGTTCTGGGGAAAACATGCCTTTTGGAGGGGAATTCAACCCGTTACGCCCACCCAACAAGAACAAAATGGCGAGTGTCTGCAGTGGGAATTGTGCTGGAGGGTTGTCACAATACTATGCATTTGTGGTCTCCTCCCATCCCCAGGGCGACAGATGGTACGTGTGGCAGGCAAGCGGGCCAGAAGCCAGGGAGCCTGTACATCCCACTGCTCGGTGTCACACCAGAGCTTGGTGCCAGTAAACTCCGGGCTACTTCCTTGAAAAACACAAAAGATGCTGCCCTGTTTTCTCCCTAGACAATGACAGAGGCTGTGAGTCTGAGAGAAGAGAGGTCAAAGCAGAAGCCAGGCTGAGAAAGGGACCAAACTGAGAGAGGAGAAAGACTTTTAATTCTCTAGATGCTGCATATAAAAATAAAAAAATCCAATATTGCGTGAGATGCCGAGTTGAGCATCCAAAATTAGACCAAGAAAGAGAAGTTCAGAAATGTGGTCTGGAGACCCCCTGGGCCAAGGTGAGGCAGCTCTGAGGATGGGGCTGGTGTCCATTCATTTGTTACCTTGGCCTTTATTGAAAAGCCTTCCCTGGACAGGTCTTAGAGGCACGAGGTACTGTCCTGGAGGAGACCTGTCTGCGCAGGGAAGATGTGAGGCGCGGATGCAGGGGAGAGGCTAGAGAGCAGAGCCAGGATGGAGCGGGCCGGGTGGGCTCCATGGCAATGCACTTGAGCCGGGGCTCGAAGGGCACTGGGGCCTGAGAAGGACCTCCCAAATTGTGCGTGACCACGCTCAGCCTTCTGTGGTGACCTCTGTCCCCAGTCCCCGCTGCCTTCCTCTGACTTTCTGTGAGGACTCTGAGGACAGAAGGTACGTGGAGGGAAAGAAGGAGCCCAATTCCTGGGGAAAAGTCTGGGCCCTGGGGCTACTCAGGAGGGCAGACCCTGCTGGGTTGAGTCCCAACTCAGCCTTTTCCTCATTTTCCTCAACACGTGCCGAAGGACTCACTTGTTACCTGGTGTCACACAGTCGCCACCAGGCAGTGCTGAAGAAGCCATGGCCGAATTTTCTGGGTCGTCATGGTGTGAATTAGTGCTTTCTCTCTGCTGAGGCCAGTTGTTGCCTGAACGTCTCAAAAGCCTCCAGGCAGCCTGAGACAGATGACCATGACTTTTTCCAGGGCGCTTGAGCAGGGAGGCTGTCCCTGCCCCGATCTTCCTCGTTTGTCTGAGAAGCTCAGGAACAGAGTTGAGACAAGCAAGGCCTCCGTTGACAGCAGGGCAGGACGAGAGGTCTCATCAGACCCGGGGACCTCGTGTCCTGCTGGGGAGAGGCAGTCAGGCTGGCGGCTCGGGATCAGTCTTTCCCGTCGTGTCCTGCGGGAGAGGACAGGGTGGAAAGAGGACTGTCGGGAGCAGAATTTTATCACCCTGCTAGATTCAACTCCTGCCTTGGGCTGACTTTTCCGTCAATGAGGGAGCTCGGCTTTTAAAAATGCAGTCATTTTTTAAATAAGAAAACGGATTGCAGACTTTGGGGTAGAGCTGGTCCCTCGCAGAGGGGAGAGGGGGAGGGAGCGACCTGCATCTGTAACACACGCGTCGAGACGGAGCTGCTTGCTGGTGCTTTGGCTCCAGAGATGAAAGAACCCTTTCACTCCCTTAACCCCGCTTGGATTTCATAGGGCAAAGTTCAGGGTCCGGCCCATCCATTCCAGCGGTGATGACCTTGAGGGAGGCTGATTTCTTGTGGCAACGAGCTCCAGATTCAGCAGGATGCCGGCATCTCAGACTTCTGTTTGCCCGGTTGGGTTTGGCCCTTTTAAGCCCGCATGGCCAGAACTCTCCCACCCATCGGGACCAGGTCCAAGGTGTGCAGCCCGTGTGGGCACACGGGACCCCATGCTCAGCAGGACTTCATTTCATGCATGTTCCGCTGTTGTCCTCTTGAAAGCCTGAATAACGTTTGAGCAAGGAGCCCATGTTTTCATTCTGCACTGGGCCTTGCAAATTATGTCAACAGTCCTTTATGCCAGGCACACCCCGCACCGTCCCCTTTGCCTGGCAAATCCCTCGCCCTTCAATCTCAGCGTCAACAGCCCTTCCGCAGGAAGCCCTCACCAGTTACACCGGCTACAGTACTGATAATTATAATAATCAGCATTAATTGAGTGTCACATATCACGTGACATGTAGTGATCTGATGGTTTGTAAGGGCTTTCTCATTTCTTCCTCTCAACCATCTGTCAACTAGCTTTCTTGATGGATCTTGTTCATCTGCGGGTAGGTGGGAGTCTGGAGGGCTTGTCCACTCAAGGAGGACACTCGCCCACCGTGATTGGAGTGGGAAGACACAGTCACTTACAGTTTGAGTATTAAATGTCCCAAGCAAAAGGGACAGCCCCTGAGACCACTCCCAGGCAAGAGGCCCACATGGTCCCTCTTAGAGCCTGCCCGAGTCCAACGCCCAGAGTCCTGTCCTCCTGGGGACAAGGTGGGGTGTCACGGGAGAGAGCTCTGCTGCAGGAGGAAGTCCCGGGGCGCTGCGTCCCAGTCCTCTCTCCCACCACTGAGCTTGGCGTTCTTAAGCTGGTCCTATAACCGCGCCGCCTGAATTTGTTCAATGGTCAATTGAAGGGTCTAAAACTAAATAATTTTGTCTGTCCCCAAAGTTCTAGAATTTTTTCTTCAGAACTTCTGGGTGAAAGGGGCGGCATTTGGATCACCAAGAGACCTTCTAATGTTTATCAAGGTGGTCCAGCACTAGCCACTCTGACTAAAAGGAGAAGGACAATAGCCGCCACCTGTCAGCACCTACCCCACCTGTGCACTCACAGACTTGACCAATAGCTCTGTGCCTTTGCTTAATTCCACAGGATTGGCTTTTTCTATCAAGAGTTGTGTCAGCCACTGGGCTGTTCTTGCCTAATGTGGGAATATGTTTATTTCCACGCACCATTAATTTCTCCTTCCAAAGTTTCTTTTAAGACAGGTGAAGGGTCCTCTTTTCAAAAACTCTGTTCTCTCCCACAGGTACAAAGGATTCAAAGGCAACTGTTCCATGACCTTCATTGATCAGTTTAAAGCGCTACACCAGTGTAACAAGTACTGTAAAATGCTGGGGCTGAAATCGCTGCAAAACAACAACCAGAAACAGAAGAAGCCAAGCGTCATGAAAAACAAAAGTCAGCCGAACTCCACGACAGGGAAGAAGACAGCGTCTGGGATCCCAGGAGAAAAGAAAACCTAGCGTCCCATGGGAATCAGCAGGCACCTCCTAGCAGCACACTGCCGTGTGGGTGGACATCTCACAAGACCCGGGGGGAGCACGGAGCCTGCAGAGAGGGCGGTGACAATCGCGTTCCCTGCTGCCTCTGGAGCCGTCACCCGCCGTCTCCGCTGAAGCGATCTGGAGCAGGGTTTGTGACCGGACTTAGGGAGAGACTGAGTCAATTGTGGTCTCAAGGACCGTCTGTCTTTGTATGTACCTGTAGCATTTTTACCGACCTCGTGTTACGTGTCGATTTGTGTATTTGCACGTGGCTGTGTTGTCCAGGACTTGGTGCTGAGCAGGGTCTGTTCACAGCCCAAATCCTCCCCACTCCCATTCCTAACCTCGAGATTTCTAGGCGCTTCCAGCTGCTCTGTAAACAGAAGATATGAATTCCTTTATCAGGTCAATTTGTCACACTAGTGTCAAATATGCTATTGTGGCTGGAGGTGGCTTTTTGAAACATGAGGCCATTTCCTAACATTATTCACACATCCAGTTTTAATGTTCTGTTTCATTAAATTCATATTTAAACAAAAAGTGTGAAATGCATATATGAGCACAGACACTTGTTCTATAGGACTGGTGCCCGATTTCATGTTCCCCCAGGGTTAGTAATTTTAGCGGAGCACAAAGTATTTGCATCTGTGTTTTCTGATGAATTAAAGCCCATAGTTTACATGAGGGGGTGACTGTGCTGTACGCCCTCTGGCTTTTGATGCACATATAACGGCATGTGTCTTCTGTAACAGTATCGTACAGATGGTTTCACTGCCCCAAAATCATTCCCCAGGCTCCTCCCGGTCCTCCCTCCCCCTAAAGCCCCGGCCGCCACCGATCTGTTCACTGTCTCCATAGCTTTGCTTTTTCCAGAATGTCATATAGTTGGAACCCCAGACTATGCAGCCGTTGCAGATTGTTGGCTGTTTTTTAGATGATTTCAGCTACTCCCTGATTGTATTTCAAAGAATCGTTAGACCTCCTCTGAGCAGTGTGCTCAATGCTTCTCAAGTTCAAAGTGCCCATATATCACCCGGGTCTTGTGACATTGCAGATTCCTGCCTGGTAGGTCCTGGGGGGAGGCCTGCGGTGCGGCCACACTTAGTGAGAGTGCCGAGCCACTGGGTAGGAGGGTGCTGAGATTCGGGGGGAGTGACGAGACCTAGCTTTGAATCACCCTCCGCTGCAGGCAGCACCCAGCTGCTTCTCACTTCTGCTCTGTGAACCCCGCCTGGTGTGGCGCTCACCACAGGCAGCGCAGCGAGCCTCCCTCTCGGCGGGGACCGGCCCGGGCTTCAGAGAGGGCTCCGGACGTCTGCCGAAAACACGGTTCTCGGGCACGCTGTTTTGGTGAAAAAAGAGAATATACCTAGATGGGGTGTTTTGTTTTGAAAAGGGATTTGAAGGAGGAAACTCTTCAGCTAGTCACATCTCATGTTTTCAGAAAACCTGCCATCTCCAGCCTTTCTTTTGAAGTGATTTCCCCCGGCTACAAAGTACAACGTGCTCATCTTTCTACCAAGGCAGCCTGCAGCCTGCTTGCCCCATAAAGGTCCTACAGATGAATGTAGCAGTGGAATTCTAGAAAGTTCCACAATAACAAAAAGGTGCAGGGCACATTTCTATTAGAATTAGTGTATACAGGGTGGGGCGAAATTAGGTGTACAGTTGTAACTACACAAAACAGAGTTTATTCTTATATTATTAATTATTGCATCATTTTTCATACAAAAAACTGTAAACTTACTTTGCCCCACCCTGTATATGCAAATATATATATATGTGTGTGTATATATATATATATATATATATATATATATATATACACACACACACACACACACATAAAATCAGAGCCCTTTCAACAGACCAGGGTATTTTCTTTAGTAATAAATTTGTAATTATGAAAGTAACACCAACACAGGTGATTAGAAATTTTTAAAAAGTATAGAAGGTACAAAACAAAGAGTCAAAGTCACCCTGAGACCCTCTTCCCTCTGAGTGGCTTGGACTGTCATCGTGGAGAGACAGCTGAAGGGAAGGGGTTTCTGCTGCGATCTTGCGTTTGCAGTCAGCTCCTGGGGGGGCTCTCTTGGATGGGGCTGTCCCTTCCTCCTTTCACTGAGGCCTAGATTTTTTCCTAAGCATCCTTATTGTTTGCCATAATCTAATTTCACCTGTTTAAAAACATTCGCAGGACCAGGGGTAGCAGGGGCACTGCAGCGGGGTGGGCTTTTGTGGGGCGTGCGGCCATCGGTCCGGCCGCGCAAACCCTGACCTTCTGTTCTGAGATGAATTGCCGTTTTCCTTGTAGTCAGTTAACGGCAAGTATGTGGTGAGCTCTCTTACACCAAAGGTGCTGTGCTGGGGTCTCAGAAATGCCCACATTCATTAACATTGTTTGAGCTCACGTGTGCTTTCTATTGATTTTCCTGTTGGCCGGGTAAGTGTGCGGTGTCGGGAGTCTACAAGCCAAGGAACGCGCCCCCTCGCCCTGCCCCCTGCCCCCTGGCTCTCAGCTAGGCCGGCCTGGTGGGCCCTGCTGGGGACTCTGTACCTGAGGCCTGCAGGGCGGTCCTACATGTATGTGCTCCGCTTCCTAAAGGGCTCACGGTGGAGCTCTGGGATGGGCCGATGACAAACATAAATGAACATGTGATTAAAAAGAGCCTGTGGCTTCAACAGCAGCTTTATCAGTAATGAGAATGGCAGGGACACGGTGACTTCTCGCCAGTGGGCATCGTGTTCTGGTGAGTCTAATTTTGGATGCGTGGACGGCTGGCTTATGTTAATATTTCATGTGACTTTATTGTACCAGTGCCTCTCCAGCCATGCTTCTGATAAGCCTCATAATAGCAAAGGGTTGCAATAGATTCTTACGGAAAAGAACGTCCGCAGAAGTAGCAATTATTTATAATTATAAAGGCTTCTCTTTTGTAAACACACACACACACACACACACACACACACAGAGTGTTGAGTGTGTGTTGGGCATGTCGTCCGCTGGCTACAGATGGGAGGAGTCTGTCACAACCCAGTTCTGGCTCATGTCCCGTGTGTGTGTTCTGCTTGGCTGGACCTTGTGTGCAGAAGTGAACGGCCTGGCATTTCTCCCCTTTTTAGATCTGCAGTTGCCACTTGGGAGCAAATAGTTAAAAAAAACAAAAACCTTATCTGCCTCCCTGCACAGTGGGTAGGGGGCGGTATGTTCCGTCTCAGCTCCAGCAGCGCTGAGCCCCTTTGAGAGCTTCCTTGTTCTAAAACTTGTATCAAGGCTGAAAGGCAAGATGAATGTCAGTGTCACCTGTGTGATCATGTGAGCACAGGTGTCGACTTTTTTTTTAGTCCTCACCTGAGGACATGTTATTGATTTTAGAAAGAGGGGAAGGGAGGAAAAGAAACATCGATGAGAAACAGAAACATCTCTTGGCTGCCTCTTGTACGTGTCCCGGCCTGGGACCAAACCTGCAGCCCAGAGATGGGTCCTGACTGGGAACTGAACCTGCGACTCTTCAGCTTACAGATGAACCAACCAACTGATCTCCAACCAACTGAGCTGTGCCGGCCAGGGCGAGATTTCAACTTTATGATGCGATGAACAAATATTTACAAGTTCTAATTGCCCCGCTAGATAAAGAATTTTGTAAAATTCTGTTCTTCATGAGACGCCCAAACAGTCCCAGGTAGAGATTATCGCAGGGGCTTCCCCCATCCCCCAAAATCACGTTCTTGATCATATATAATCAGGAAACGCCAGTCTGTGAGCTTCCATGTTAGGGCCCGGGAGGATCAGAAGCAATTTGAATGGAATACCTCACCTCTATCTCCGTCTCCCTCCCATCACTTCTGCTTTTTCTACCCACGTCTACGTGGGATGATAAGGTAGTGCCTTCTTCCCAGCGGTAAGTTGCCCACGAATCTTTCCTTAGTGTCTTATTAGTTTCCTGGGGCTGCCTTTTCCCTGCCCAGTCCTCCCAGGGTGTCACCCCCACATAACTGAGCAAACTGTCCCCCTACTGACCACCGATTTCACATCCTACCACCACCTGTAGGTCTCATCCCTTCCCTCCTAGATCCCCCTGCACTCAAACCAGTTTCTAACGCATCACATAGGCGACTTATTATGTTTAGTGTTTATCTCCCCCATTAGACGGTGAGCTCTATGGGGACAGAGACCTTTATCTCATTTATTTACTGATGTAGCCCTAACATGTAGAAGCACCTGGAACATAGTAGGTGCTTAAGAAATATCTGTCGAATCGCTTCCCATCCCCCCGATTCATTTATAAATATCTGCATCTCATTCAAAATAGAGAAGTGAGTTTCGTAAATCATTTTCTTATTCTCCAGGGAAAGTAATACAATGAAATATCATCTAAAATGACCTACAAGTATAAATGAACTATATTTTCCCCTATGGTCGATACTAAGAAAAAAGTAAAAGGAGAAGAAATCATGTCGTATGATGGATTTGTATAATACATTTTTTTCAGGGTTCAGCTTTCAAGTCATTTCACACTGTTTTACGGGTCCCTTGCTATACGACCTCTCTGTTAACCCTAGCGCCCCTCCCCCCCGCCCCAGTCTAGACTATCAAAGTTTTAATAATCTGGCTGCACGTCTCTTAAAAACTCTCCTTTCAAGTGTCAAGGGGCCCTCCCTGCAGCCGCCAGCCCAGGCGCGCTGGCAGACCCATCTGCTCCGCCGTCGCGCTGGCTTCAGATAGGTGTAGCTTTGATCGCTGGCCCTCCCAGCTTCCAGTTTCTCTTTCATCTTCCATTTTTCTGAAAGAGGTGACATTGGAGAAGGACATAAAAGTTCACGATGGCTCAGCAGAGAGAAGAAGGAAAGGCCCCTGAACAGGGAGAGCCGAGGCTCAGGAGCAGGCAGAAGATGACCCTCCTTGAGTGGCAACAAGCAGCCTTACCTGGCAGGACGGGAGGCCTGTTGTCACCTAAGGAGGGAGGAGGAGCAGGCTGGGGCGTGACTGAGGCAGGGGCTTTGCTGGTTGGTCAGGGAGCCAGGCTTGTTTTTGTGGCTTTAGAAAGTGCTGGAGTCTTCGCCAAGGACAAAACCTGGAACCTGGGGAGCGTCGTGCTTGCCCGGGGCGGGGGGCAGGATGGAGGAGCAGGGAGCACGCGAGACACCTCTGGGCCAGCAAGCAGGAGAGGGCACCCAGAGGCAGAAGGACACCATGTCTAAGAAGGGCTCGGAAACCGGTCACAGGAAGCCTGGAGTGACCCGCACATGGAAAGCAGAAATAAGAGCAAGACAGAAACCGCACTGGGTTGTTCCTTCTCAGCGTCCGGAGACTTCCCTCTCTGGACAGCTTCTCTGGGCTCTGCAGGGCAGGGCCCAACCCTTCACCCGGGCCATGCCAGCCCCAGGGGCAGCGGGAGGGGCGGCGCCTGGCCGAGGTGGGGAGTCCTGCCGTCTCTGTCGGGCAGAGGCACTTGTGCAGCGGAGCTGCCGCGCTCGCAGGGAGCGCAGCCTATTCCTCGGAACCGGCAGACCTCAGAAAAGGTTGCCCTTGGTACCTG